CACCACGCCGGATAAGCCTCGAAGATTGGAAGCAAATCTTTACAGAACTGCTGCATGCGAGTACAAAGACTGAAGCCCACTGAATTTTTAGATATTTTTTTCATCTTTCGTTTCGTTGACTTTGCTACATGCGCGCGCCATGCCACTGTATATATTCCTAGATTTCTAAGTATTATCAATTTTTTTTTTGCAAGCTGGCACCTCTACTGTGTATTTCTTGCGTACAGTTTTTGCGCCAAACACTCGCTTCAAGTATGAACGAAGAAGTCAAACATCCCATGCTTGCAAGTGTCGGCGGCCCCTCTCAGAAAAGCTGACATTTTGGACGTAAGAATGACGGCTAATGCAGGAACTTGCACACACATACACGCGCAAAAAAAAAACACAACGAAATAATAAAAAAAGTCCATTCTGTTTCTCCGCTCTTTTAACGTAGCGGTATTTTCCAACATAGCTCCTTTTCTGACGCTTTTTGAAGCATTAGAGAGGGTGGCCTCTCAATTTGACGGCGTACCAGGCGGGTCCTAATACGCTGTCAAGCCTGCCTCAACTGCAGCATAAGTGAGCGGTACGCCTTAAAAGCATCGCGCCATGTTATGCACTCCTTCAAACACGCACGCACGCACAATTTTGATAGCTCGAAAGAGGAGATTCTTTGCTGGAGTAACTGGTCGGTGCGGTGCGTGCGTACTTTAGTCCAGTACCCGATTAGGGCTTTGGAATTTACTATTAACCAAACGACACGTCGCTTCAATCATATACAGCAAAGCTCGGTGCAATAAATGAAAAGACACGTGTGTAAATTCCAAAGTGTGTTAGACGAAAGGCTTATCAGCGTCAGTGTTATCACATTAGTGCCGAAGAAGACTCGAACGGCACTGAAGTTTTTTTTTTTTTTTAAGCATCCGCTCATCGATCTCGTATATACTCCGTCACCAGGAAAAAAAAAGTTCATACACATCAATTTTCCAGAGGACCCACTCCGCGATAACCCAGCACTCGTCAAAGGCTCATGAAGTGCTTCGAAGAAAGTTCTTAGAACGCGCTTTCGATCAGTATAAACGATCTTCGACCGAGTGAGGGGGGGGGGAGGAGGAGAGGGGGCTGTATTTTGACATTGACATGTGTGGGCAATAAAAGTGCACTCCTGTCAACGCTTTATTACACCTGCCTCGTTTCTCCTTCGTCGTCTTATCGACAATGCTACCAGGGACGCAAAGAGCGAACTCAAAAGATCAACGCCACGCCCGGCGAAGTGCCACAGGCGTCCTCCTTCCTCCTCCCCATTGACACACACACACACAGCAGGTGACGGAACACTGCGACAAGCGACGACAGCGTAAAGCATTAGGTGAAGAATGTAATCGAAAGGCAGCGCGGGGGGAAGGGGGGGGGGGACGGCGGCTGCGTCAGCGCAGTTCCCCTTTTTTTCCTCACGAACATAAAAGGGCGAGCGAAGTTAAGACGAAGGCGCGGGAAAAGCGTAAAACAACAATCCCCCACGAATGCAATCGAAATTAAAACGTAATACTAAAGACGAGGCCGACACGTTTGCGAGCCCAGTAATTATCCGCAGAGGCTATTTTTTTCACTCGCACTCTCGGGCGCTAACTCTGGCGCCGCTCGATAGGAGGCATGGCATTATAGCGCTGGCTATAGCCGCATGACGCTAGAGCACCATGGAACAGAAACTATAGAAAGTTCTAGTGCCACGTCCCCAAAGTTCTCGCGTTCTTTTGCGCTCTCTCCCTGCCGGCTGCTGGGGAACTGTAGAAAGCGGGGAGGGCACTGTTTAAAAGACGAGTCTTTCTTGGGGCACTTCGACGCAACAATTCTGGTCTGTGTGTCTGTCTGTACATTTGTATGTTTCTCTGCCGAAACGATACACCAAACGGCTAAAATCCAACACCAGCCACAGCGCGCACCAATAATGCTTAAGCGTCAGAGTTCATACTTGAGAGATCGTCAATTAAAAAGCAATTATTGCGCATATCTGAGGCACAATAACAACACATCAATATTCTGCATGTGTGTATTTATAGTGAAAGCATACATACGCAATTCTAAGGATCGTAGCATTTATCACGCTGCGCTGACAATGCAACGCTATGCACAAAAAGGCAAGTGTTTCCAACGGTTTTCTAAGACGACACGGTGGTGGCCCCTGCCCGTCGCTTCGCGTTCTACACCCTATCGCCTCAGAGACAGACAAGCTCGCCTTCCTTCGTTGTCAAAGATAACTGCCAGATAGCGCTCGTGTCTCACGTGCCTCGATCGATGCACTCGGTTCACCGTCGCTGCACGAATGGAGGCACGCAGCGCCTCCAGGATACAATTCACCCATTTCCTCGCGCATGACATCAAATAAACGTTTTCTTCACTCTCTCCAGCCGCAAGATTAGCGTCTTTCGATGATAGTTGCAATGAATCATGCAGATACAAAGCTATTTTTATCTTTATAGCTTCTTTATAGCCCTAGAGTGCGCGGGGCTAGTGGTTAGGGCTTAACGGCAGGGGTGGCACTTGCCGCATACGAATACCAATCGTTGACGGTCGTTCGTTCATCCCCGGATTCAAAATGGGAAGTTTACAAATAGCCAAGAACATACACGCTCCCCTACTATTGATGGGGGGGGGGGGGAGAGAAAGAAACCCTGTACAAGTGTACGAAACCGAGCTCGTCGGTAGGCGACCATTGACGCTGCGCCGTGCTCCTTAACGGGCTGCAGAAATTAGGCGTATTTTCTTTCCTCTAATCACTACCACCACCACCACCACCACCATAGAAAATAGCTGTTAAGTGCCACTGAGTCACGACGAAGCGTCGACGTGCCACCTCAATGAAGTACGCGGCAAAGTGAAGATGGCGCCCGTAAGCACGGAATCAAAGGGAAGGCGACACCCCCATTGTGTTTAAAAAACAGAGATCCCGGATCCGATTCGGAGGTACTCTGTTCGAATCTTAGTGGTACCAAGCTGACGCGGGGGTTGTGGTTGGCACACTCCGAAAAGATGGCCGCAGCTTTGCGCCCTCTCCTCCATACACACAGCCCCTTCCGTCGTCGCACGAAGCGAGTAAGAAACGGCTCATCCTCGCGTCCAGAGCAGTCATTTAAGGCAAGCGTTGCTCGTGACCCGGGTCGCTTGCTAATAATACTTTGCCAAGTAAACACTGCACGCGAAGCAGTCGAGGCAGCTGTTTGTGTTTTTTCCTTGACGCACAATTAGACAACGGGGTCGTCTTGACAGGAGCAGCTGTCGCGCCTGCCAGTGCGCGACGACGCGCACAAAGGCGGGCATTGTACTCATCGGCACATTGTTAAAATCGTATTTACACCCGCGTCCGAAGCTCGGCTCTCCCGTCGACTCAAGTTAGGGGACTGAACAATCACGAAGTGCACTGCAGACTTAATCGCCCTGTTCCCCACAAAATGTAACGTACCTGGAAAGGGGCCCCCTCCAACTACAAAGACGAGATGGTGGTTTCTTACTCGTCTTCACTATCCTGCCTATAAAGGCGCTACCTCAATGCAGCACGTGGCAATGCCGGCACCAAAGGTAGGCTATCGGGACTTTTATGTTCGCGGCTACACACCATCACTTAAACAGTCGAAAGCGCTCAAAGCCAAGTGAAATCAGTCGATCGCGCACGATAAGCGTGCGAAGAACGATATGATGACGGGAGACGCCGTAGGGGTCCGGGGAATTTCGACGACCTCCGTTGGTGGTCCTGTACCGCGCGCCTAAATCTGATAAGCACGCGGCGACCCTCGGTTGAGCAGTGGAGTTCCAGTGTCACGAGACCAGCGTGGAAAGCGTCCATCTCGTGCAACACAAATCCCTAAATAGGCTTTAAGGAAGCCCAGCTCCACGATTTACAGGTAGAGGCGTCGAGTACAACCGCCATTTTTTTTATGAAAGGGAACACGCGAGCGCGCGTCAAGTCATCCTCGAACCACGTGACACGGCGCAGTGGCGGGAACTGAAAGGAACGACCATTCCTATACTATCAATTGCCCGCTGCCCGTCTTGCAGTTTTCCTTTCCTTCTTTTTAAAGCATCTTTTGCTGTTGCGAGATGCAAGAAGTCCGAAGCTGTGATAGCGACAGTGATAATCGATAACTGTTCGCAGAAAGGTCACCAAAGTATGGATATAAAAAAATAGTACAATAAACACATTCGTGATGGAAGTGTAGGCAGTAGAAGGAACGACATCACTCTCGTTTTATTTTCGCATTGTAGCCACTGCCACATGTGCGACACGAGGCTCATTGCCCTTTGGTATTAATGAAAGGCTGCGCAGCACGCATTAGACGCCTAACTAACATTTGCAATTGGCTCGACTTTGTCTAGACTCCTCGAACTATCATGGATGGATGGATGGATATGGCTGTACCCTTTAGATCGGGCGGTGGCTAACGCCACCAAGCCGTAATACTTACCAAGAACGAGATAATTTTTTTCTTTAAATAATGAGGTTGAGGACTCGTACTTTGCAGTGAAGGGTTTAATTTTCACTCGTGCCTTGACTTTAGCCACCAATCAGATAACCTCCTTCTAGTTAAGTCTACCCGCTCAAAGTCTATTTTGCCCTCACGGTCCCTAAACCCCAGTGCTTTGAAGAACTCTGCGCCATCAACCTGAACGATAGGGTGACGCCCTTCACAGAACATTATCAAGTGTTCGGCAGTTTTTTCTTCCTCTCCACACGCACTGCATACCGTGTCTACCCCTTCGTATTTGGCCCGATATGTCTTGGTTCGCAATACTTCCGTCCTGGCCTCAAACAGTAGAGAACTACCCCGAGTTTTATCATTGATCCTTTCCATGGTAATTTCCTGCTTAAAAGTTCGAGAGATCTCTAGTGCGGACTTCTAGATCTCTAGTGCGGATCACTAGTGCGGCCTCATACCGATCCTCCAGACGCGAGGCGTTACTGCCACCTCGCGGGCGTCCAGACATGCTTAGAACTGAAAAAAAGAGAAAGAGGGACGACTCACCTTGGCGTACTCGATCTTGAGGGTGCAGCATCCGGAATAGATGTCGGCCCCGTTGAGAGACTTCTTGGCACGCACCGCCGCCTCAACGCCGTCGAACCTTTGGTTTTTTTTTAGAGCGCGCAGTCAAGGAGCAAACAGGCAAGCTTCATCGGGTGGCACATAAAACAACCAACAAACGACGCTCACGAAAACAAAAATAAAAAAATTCGCACGCGCTCACAAAGAGAGCACGACGTGAAAGAAGGTCACCTTGAAGACACACGCAAAGCCAGTGAGCGCACAAACACACATACGACGTAGAGATGATGTCGTCGCTCTAGAAGCGATGTCATTCATGCAAGACACGAAGATTATTGGCGAAAAACAAAAAAAAAAGCAGCACAATCGGCGTCAATGTGAGCAGCTGGCACAGTTACAAGTCGGAGCTGGCGTCACCATTACAAACATTGTTGGTTTAAATAATAATAATAATATATATATATATATATATATATATATATATATATATATATATATATATATGCGCGCGCTTGTTTGTGTTCCCGCTCGGTTCAAGGCAACTTAAGCAGATAAATGTATTATACGAAACCGGACTTTACTACGTTAGGGTAATTACAAATGCTTTGGGCGCAGTCAGACAAGAAATGCAGAGACGCTCTTGGTACACATGGTAGTGCGCCAAAACGAGCATCGGTAACAAAAACAACATCGTCTTAGCCGAAGCGAGCCGCACATCATTTATTGTGGACCGGCGAGTTCACCCAACACAGCGGGACAAAGAAGACGGTAGGCGCAAAGCGGGCAGCCGTTATTTGGATACGCGTTTCAACCAGCTCTTACGGCCACGTATCCTGCACGGTGCACGTTTAAGGTGTTTTGCTTTTTTAGTGACCATTCAAAGAGAAAAACCCAGAAGACACGGCCGCGATGCGCAGAGCAGACGATTCGCCTGCATCGGTCAGTTCTCTCGAGCTGCAGTCTACGTCACTTCCGGTAGGCTGTAATGACGTCGTTTTTTCTCCTAGTTTCGGTATCAAAAACTGCTTACTCGGGAAGTTTTTTTTCCCCTTCCTAGATAAGCACTAGCATTTCGAAGGTGAAATTTGGCAATCAGCATTGTCTCCAGCTAGACTGCCTATAAATCCGATTTTTTTTTTTCAGGTGTGCACAATTTCGGTGCAGTTGGCCTTCAAGGCCAAAATGCGCGCGCGCGGTGGTTCCAAATGAATTTACAACCTTATTGATTGATTTGTGGGGTTTAACGTCCCAAAACCACCATATGATTATGAGAGACGCCGTAGTGGAGGGCTCCGGGAATTTGACCACCTGGGGTTCTTTAACGTGCACCCAAACCTGAGTACACGGGCCTACAACATTTCCGCCTCCATCGGAAATGTAGCCGCCGCAGACGGGGAAGGATTTACAACCTTAACAAACTACAAACACAAAATTGTTTTCCCCCTTCATCTTTTTTTTCTCGCGTAACTTCAAAAACTAACCCCCTCCTATTAAGCAGTAATTAGTATTAAGTATTAATCATCAATTAGTCAGCATTAGTACAAATTGAGAAATGACATGTCTAATTAAACCGTGGCCCTCCATACGGCGTTAATCATGTTATGGACCTTGGCCGTGAGAGGACATATTAAAAATATTAGGCGTGGACACAGGTTTCCAAATTCATCTTTTTGCTCGATACCAGGCCAAAAAAAAAAAAAAGAAAAACGATATACACGACTGCACGATTCACAACAGACGCTTCGTGTGGCGCCACACTGAATCGACGTTATCTTCGCGCTCGGTGGAGACGTATAACGCTGAATTATGCAAGCGCATACCCAGGCCAGAACGTTTCCCAAAGGCGAGGGTGCTCGCTTTAGTAAAAGACGAAGGGCAAACAAAGGAGAGCGAGGGAGCGCGCCAGAGAGAGAAAAAAAAATCAATCCCGGACGTCATCTCCATCGATTCTTGAACGGCCGAAGTGAGAATGAGTGAGTTATCGCACTCCAGAACTACCGAAAAAAAAAAAAAAAAACCAGCCGACTACCCCCCTCCTCTCCCCGCAAGACATGATTCGCGTAGAAATCGGCAAAAAGCGCCCACTTTTCGCATAAAAGCGCGGTTATTTACGGGGGCGGGCAGTCGGATACTGCGCAGTCATATCAATAGGGACGCAACAAACAGAAGGAACCACTCGTACGAATGATATGCCTTATAGGTAAAAAAAAAAAGAAATTGTTACACGGTTGAGAAGGAATAACTTGGCACAATAGAAAACGCGGCACTTTGCTGCTTCAGTATACCTCGCACCATTCTCACGACAAGCTATTCGCGTGGCGGGCGTAAATTTATCTCAACGTAGCGAGAAACATAAAAGTCCAGTTCATCCACTTCCGACTGAGGGAGAGACGTTTGAGCAGACTAAAAAAAAAAAAAAAACCCCAGACGTTCGATTCACAGAGCGAAAATAGGAAGTATTTTCGTAGTGCTGGCTGTAGCGGGAATTTCGTTTGGTATTTTTTCAGGCGGCACTCCGTCGAATTCTTCGATTTGCATGTGTAATTTCTTACGCAATATAATATAACACAGCGAAAAACGATGGACGAACAGAGAGATACCAGCAGACGTTAGTCTCGGTGTGTTAATTCTTTGTGGTTTCGTCAGCTTTGCGTTTATCGCAGCCTGGTTGGAACCAAGGAGGTAAAAAAAAAAAAATCTCGAGTGGAAGCCTTTACTATGCCTTGGCAGCAGATGGGAAGCCAGCGTTTGCCTGGAGTATTTACCTTAAAACATGGTCTTCTCGCGTGACATCGTATCCAAGATCTCGCTTAAACATAGAACAGATCGCTGTCCCTAACAAAAGTAATACGTATGCATTAGCACAGGTAGCTTGCTTTCTACTAATGTTTGTCAAAGGCTTCTTAAAGAAAAAAGCACTAGCGCACATGTCGAGCAGTATCTATGCGAGGAAATTACCGCTATTGAATTTCGCTTCTACCCCTCACATAGCGACGAGACCTTATTTCGCAGGAACTTTTTCATTCGAATCTTCGTACACGAGGAGGCTTCCAACACATTAGGTCACGCCTCCTCCACACCCTAATTTACCCGCTTCCTCTTCACACGAATAAATAATCTTCTCTTACTTTAACCCGTTTTCGAACGGGGGTACCACGGTTCGGTCCTGAAGGGACCAGCGTCAAAGCGTAAATCCACGGCCACGATGCTAATGCACCAGTGGCATTAAGACGAGGGAAATCTGCCCTCGGTAAGAAGAGCAGCCCGGTCCACGCTTCCGTCCCTATCCGTGCTGTCAACAGGGTTCGTTCCACTCGTATAGCGAAGGAGACGGCTAATGACGGCGCTCCCATTCCTTCCCGCAAATGGACGCTCTCCCCTCTCCTTCCCTTAAAGGGGTCGTCCCTTCAGCGTAGAAAAAGAAGAGGTGAAAGCCGACGAAAGGAAGGGCAATCAATTCCGCGCAGCATCCTCTTCCGCTCTCCCGAGCAGGGAGATTGGCTCGAGCGTATATACAGATGCAGTCGACGGCTGACGCGACGCAAGGTGCGTTCCACGTGATTACCGGCCCGCGAGTGTGCCGCACATGGAAAGGCAACTAAGAAAATGAGGAACGTCCTATTACAGGAAAGGAAACCGCGCGCATTTCGCGACGGTGAACACAATGTGCGGAGTCATCACTGACGAAAGCGCGAACGTCAGCGTCGACTGAGCAACAGTCCCGCGTGTGTCGCCACCTGCTTTGTCCCGCGTGTCAAGCGCTGTTTCGACATTTATCGCCGAATGTTATAACCCCCCCCCCCTTTTTTTTTTATTCTTTCCGGCAGATAAACGGGCGACGAGCACTGAACAGGTAGGCAGTCGTTTTCATTTCCCGGTGTACACGAAGTCTCCCAAACTGTGGCATAAGCGAGACAGGCGATGCAGGCTTTTCTGTGCACGTATATAGTAGAAAGGAGCTTTTGTGCAATCAGGATTTGATTACGGCAACTATGTAGAGAGGGCCGCAAGGTCATTCTCTCTTTCCTAGTCCAAACGAGATGCCAGCGTCCTAAAATGCAGAACTTACAGTTAAATCTGAAAAGCAACATCAAGTTCGGCGCGAAAATGAACCCTCATGATAAGTAGTTGATAAACCACAATACCGTTAATAGACACGCCCGGTACTGGAGGGATCCTAAAATCCTGCCAATACTTAAACCTGCACCGACATCGCTCAGTACACGGGGGCCACATCGCCTCTATCAAAGTGCGACCGCCACGAACGGGATGATCAAGTCAGCGTTGTTGGGGGGGTCATCAGACGAGCGTCGCAACAACTGTATCCTTCTAGGCGTACCACACGCAGTGTTGTTGCCTACCGGTGAGCGTTTTTCCTATTGTAGAGCACAACGTTTACAAACCTACGCTAAACGGTAACAAATTCGCCGTCAAACGACCGCTTTATCTGCGAACAATAACAAATCCAAGGACGAAACAACGACGTCCTACGCGGCCGCTCGCGGCTCACGAACGAAAGCAACGCGCCGCGACCCGGACAGAACGAGATCGCGTCGTTTCTATAGACACTGTGGCTTCGGTACACTAAAAGGAGCGGTCGGCCGCCATAGACGTCGGACCCGCTTTCGGAGACGCGCACGAGAAATCGTCATCCACAGATTGGACAGTTCGAAGACAAGTGCAACGTCCAAGAAAAAGGTCAAAACAGACGACCGCATTACAAACTGGTGACGATGCCGAAAGGAAGAGTTCGAAAGAAAGCAAAACGACGAGAGGACAATAGATGAATAAATGAAATGAATACCGATCAGCCGCGAAAACACTGACAGCTGCAAGGCGGAGAGAGATGAGTGAGGAGAATGGATGCTTAGGGGTTCGCGGGGCAACCGAGAAGAACGCGATATGCCGTGAAAAGAAGCCAGCACAAAAGCTGAGACAAATGGATCTCGCTGCTATCAATTTCACGCAGCAGTAAGCAAGCAGCCGGGTTCGGAAGGCGGCTGGGTGTAGACACAGAACCCCGGGCCTGAAGTCAATTAAAATTAAAACAAATAGGTAAATAAACACTGCACG